CCAGAAGCTGGTATCCTGGGAGAGCAGTTTATGTATTTTGAAAGGCAGACTTTAAGGACCACTTTGGATGTCCACAGCTTTCTGTGGGGCTTTATCTCCAGTGTACAGAATGCAGGAATGCAGGAACCAGGAATGGCTGTACTTTACATCACAGTGATATATTCAGTGAATTTTTGTTTCCTATCCCCACAATTTGGGGTTTTATGGGTTATGGGTGCCAGAGCCTGCAATATTGTTCATGCCCAAAGCATGCTGTGAGCAGTGCAGGCTGCAGAGTAAACTCACAGTAAGAAGCAAGTCTGACTGAAGCTCTATGACTCACAGAAACAGCTCATGAGCACCACGCAGCTCAACATGACCTCCCCACCCATGGTCACTGCTGAGAACAGAGTGACGGCCTGTAAAGATGTGGGGCTCGTACAAGGTAACATCCTAGCTCAGATCAGAGGAATCACACCCAAACTCCATCCCCACAGTCAGTGCCTTCCCAGCTGGAAGGACAGTGCTCTAATTACAACCATGGGTTTTATCCATCTTGCTTCTAATTTGACTTCTCTTTAAAGCCTTGCCTGCATTAGTTTCCATGGTAACTTCATGTACTGCACATCTATACATGTATTGCACCTTTACCCAGGCTGATGAATAATAAAATTTGGTGGAAGAGAAGTCCCAGTGCCTTTTGCCAAAGGAGCATTGGCTGTTGCAGTTCACACTTTCTCTTTAACTCTGTCTGAAGTTTTTCTTCAACCCTGGGCAGGTGGGGGCTAGAGACTCACTGCAGGAGTCTCTGGCATATGAGTATTGTTTTCCACTTTCAGCAAGGAGCACAGCAAGAAAGCTTCTTGAGCCAAAGGACTGGTGGGCAGAAAGTGGAGTCATTGTCTTGGCAGGATAATATACCCTACCATCCAGGGAGATACAGCTGCTGCTGTATAACAGGGACTGGAAATAATATTTTGGGCACCTAGATGATCCACTTTGACAACTGTTGGCAAGACCTTGTCAAATTTGACAGTAAATGGACAAATGAATTCAGCCCAGGGGTCTGATGACTACAGCTGAGTCCCACCAGGAATGAGAGTTTGAGTCACACCACCAGTTTAAGTCCCCAAGATCACTGAAGGTAAAAAAAGATCTGGAAGGGATAATAGCTAAGGTATGAAGCACATTAGTTGGGGCTTCTAAAATAGCTCTCATGATGGAAGCTGTTGTTTATCTCACTCATCTTCTAAGTTTTCTCCAGAGAAAGAAATCCTATGGCATCCTAGAAGAGCAACTCCAAGAAAACAGATGGAAAATGCATCCAGCCAGTCCAAGAAGTAGACTTTGGCAGATGCTGTGATATTGCCACCCAGCCCTTATTAAGAAAAAAAAAAAAACATATTTAGAACTGTCAACTTTCTTTAAGGATTATCTCTGTTGAAGGAGACAAACTTGCCTACAGTCATTCCTTCTGGGGGAAGGGGCAGACACTGACCAGAATGGTCATATAAAAGCCTGGCATCTTGGGCTGAGGTGGGGACAATTTTAAAGAGTTATTTCAGCATTAAAGTTCCCTCAGGATCTGCTGGGATCTTCTTCAGAAATGTATTACTGTCGCGAGCCGGCGACGCAGAGCACTGTCCAGCAGTGCCTCAAACCTGAAAGAGCAGTGGGGTGGAGATGGGGCAGAGAGAAAGGAAGGACGCCAAGACAAGAGTCTGATCAAGGCGACGTTTATTGCCGGCAAGCACCGGCCTTTTAAAGCAAAAAACCACGAACTATTATGGGATGGGTTTACCATAGTAACTGAAAGGACACACAGGAAAAGAGCAAACAGGTTCACCAAAACAACCCACCGTGAGTAGTAGTAACCCGGACAACCACACATCTAAAGGTCAGAGACAAGAAACTGTAACTTTCAGGAATTCCACAAAGGAAACACTCTACCTGCTAAACTGGAGAAACTTAACACATATAGAGTTACTAAAGTTAACAATACTTACAACCAATACTCATGATCCCCACATATTACAGATCAAACTTTACCTTTGTCCAGTCTTGTTTCCCTTCACCAAGTGTCTTGTAAGGATCACCCCTGTTACATCTTGTGTCTAGATGTTCCCCCAAAGGCTCATGCAGTCATAGGTAAGGCTTTTCAGAGGTGGCTCAATCTAGGATGTGTGATGCTGGAATACGGATATATAACTACTAAATTAGTCCACTGATTGGTTTGGCACAGCTCTGGTTCTGGGTAATGGGAAGGACCACCCTGGGTGTGAGTGGGCAGGTAGCCTGGAAAGGATGAAAGGGAGAGACAGGCTGCAGATCACTAACAAAGCCCATGCTACACTACTATTTTAAAAGATTGCCTTTTTTTTCAAGATGCATAACTAAAGATGAAAAGCAGAATTTTGCAATGACAAAAAAGTCAGCCTACTGAGAAGATATAAGGATACTGTGTACTTAGCTGTTTATACTTAACAGTCTATCCTAGAAATCTTTAAACATTGGTTCATAAAGCTCTTCACCCTCTCTTCATATCTGTGTAGTAGTCCCTTGAGTATACAACCATTGCCCTATGTACAGACATCAAGATTGTTGTCAGTATTTTTAAATGGTGAGAATGCTTTATTGAAGGATACATATGGTTAGGGTAAGTTCCTAGACAAGGGGTTGTCAGGTGGAAAGATGAACACACATTTTTCTTTGGACTGCTTTGCATTCCCAACAGCCTGGCTCCTACTGTTTAGTTTTCGGGCCAAGCCTCAGCTCCGAAGGCTTCCTTGCAGCTGGAGAGGAAGCTGCTCTCCACCCACCGAGACTCAGCCTCCCTTGTCAGCCCTGCCACACACCTGCCGGTGCTTCCTTCCCAGCCCCTCTGCCCAGGCCTTGCACAGCCTTCCCCATGCCTCTGCCGAGACCCTGTGCTGAGACAAGAGGGCAAACCCAAAGACGCTCTCCTTCGCTCCAGTGTGTTTGCAATTCCTGATTCCTACTTCTCAGAGAAAAAGCAACCAAGAGCCTGGAGCGCACTGCTTGCTCCCAGCCAGCCATTGCCAGCTCTGCGCGGTGCACCGTGTCCTCCCTCCTAACTTCCTTTCTGTCACACAGTCCAGTCAGGAGTCACCACCACCTGCTTTTTGCATTCACCAGTGGCTCTAGCAGTGCTAAAACCTGCGTTGGTTTTCCAGCCCAGTCTCTCTGGCCTGTTGGCCAATCTGGGTGTTTTTTCCTTCTGTTTCCATCCAAGACGCCCCTTGCAGGATGACCTCGGTGTCCCTTGGACCCTTTCTCTGTTCTTCCTCCCTAAACGTTGTGCTTCTCCTTTCTCTGCTGGAGTAGCTTCCCTCAGAACCTGTGGTGTTGCTGGGTGAGAGACTTTGTGAAGGATAAGTCAAGTTTTTAAAAGAGTTAGTCAAGAATTCCGTAAGAGTTTTCCAAGATGTAAGATATTAACTTGAAAGCAATGCACATCTAACAATACAGAAATGTAATGAAAGTCCTATAGTCGCTGCCCTCTGGAGGATGATTCTGAAGGATTTAGAAATGAAGAGGATCTTTTTATGCCAATAGAACATATAGCATAAGTTGTGTTTTGGTAGAAGAGATGGGAAATGCCAAGCCTTATGGGTCTCCAAATTCTGAACATTGGCATCAATTAATGATTCCTTTAATTAATATCGTCGTGGCTAATATCATGCTTAGTGTAATAAAGTAGGAAGAACCAAATATATTGTAATCATTCTGCTTCCTATGGGAATAGCAGAGTATCTTCCATAATCAAAACTAAACCAATAACCCATTTCATTAACTAGTCCACATAAAAGCTAATGTAATCTAATCTGTCCAGACAAAACAGAGCAGCTAATGCTAAAAAATAAGAAAATATGCACACTGTGCCTGATAACTGTGTATCTTTTGAGGAAAATTTATTAGGCATGTGGTCTATTTCTGGGACCTCTACATTAAAATGAACTTGCTTGAGATTTTTGATTCTGTCTAGCTCATCAGTCTAGCTCTTGCTGTCATTGATAGTGTGCTCAAGTATTGTGGTCCTTATTTGCTTGGCAATATTTTAATATAATATAGGTTTTCCAAAACCTGGGTTTCACCCAAATGATATGTCAGGTGTGAAGAAACACAGCTGCCTTTAAGATGAATTCATTCATTTGACACAAATCATTTGAACCAATTCCCTTCATTGCTGGTGAGGTACTGCTGTCACTAATGTAAAAGCGAAGAAAGAATAACCACCATTGAGAGAATAACCAATCATGAAGAGCCCAACAGCGCATCTTGTGGCTTTATTCCTCTATTCAAGATATCCTGATAACATGGAAAAGTAGAGATCAAATAATCTTCAAACAGTTTAAGAATACCCCTCAGCTTTCTCTTGTCATTAGCAAGTATTAACAAGAAATTCTTCCTTTTGTGTAAAGCACAAAAACCTCACAATCTTGCTTTCTATCTTTTCTTCTTTATTCTCTATTGCCTCAGACAGTCAAACATACCTGTCATTTAGCTCAATTATATGAATGACTCAAAATACACAGGATTCATGTGTCCATGGTGTTGGAAGTACTAAAGTTCTGTAATAGAACAATTTATTTTGGCTTTCATTTAAGCATTTGGCACTATAAAAGCACATTTAAATTTCTAGAAAAATGCTTCTTTTGTGCTACTTCCAAAATCTTTCTTTGTATATCTGTTCAGGACTTACTAAGTGTAAATTATTGGATAAAAAGTGATATAGGAACAGAGATGCTTAGTGTGTGCATTCACAGCTAGTGTTTTGCAAGCATAGGTCACTGTGTTATCCTGATTGGTGCCCTCTTGGTGGGAATGCTTGATTTAGAGGAATTTGAGAAGACACTATGACTGCATACTCAAGAAGAATGTTGCATTTTCTCCTAGGAGCTGAACCAATGTATTTCCAATCATTTTAAGTGCCTCTTCAGCCTGTGATGCCAGAATATTTCTTTATTTGCTAAGTCTGTCAACATATAAAGAAGATGCAGTCACTCCTTACTATCCTTCTGCACCCCATTCCCTATCACCTTCTTGATTGCTTCTTTCACATCTTTATTTCTGAGGGTGTAGATGAGGGGATTCACGCTGGGGGTTATGATGATGTAGAAAAGAGAGAGGAACTTGCCCTGGTCCTGGGAGTAGGTGTTTGCGGGCTGCAGGTACATGTAAATGATGGTGCCGTAGAAGAGCAAGACGACAATCAGGTGGGAGCTGCAGGTGTTGAATGCCTTCTTCCGCCCAGCGGCTGACTTGATTAGAAGTACCGCTCTTGCAATGTAGCCATAAGAGATGAGGATAAGAATGAATGGGACCAGGATGATAAAGATTGCCAGGGCAAAAGCCAGCGCCTCCAGGGCCATCGTGTCTATGCAGGCCATGCCAATGAGTGCTGGCATCTCACAGAGAAAGTGTTCCACCCTCCTGTGCCCACAGCGGGGCAACATCAGTGTCTGGGGTGCCATGATGAGAGAATTGCCAAAGCCACTCAGCCACGCCACTGAAGCGAGCTGCCCACAGAGCCGAGGGTGCATGATGACTGTGTAGTGCAGGGGTTTGCAGACAGCTGCATAGCGGTCATAGGCCATGACGGCCAGGAGGACACACTCCACCCCTCCCAGGGCTAAGACAAAGTAGAGCTGGATGGCACAGCCCACATAGCTGATGGTCTTGTAGGGGCCCCACAGGTTGTAGAGCATCTGAGGGATGGAGCCGGTGGTGAAACACATGTCCAGGAAGGAGAGGTTGGCCAGGAAGAAGTACATGGGGGTGTGCAGCCGTGAGTCCAGCACTGAAAGCAAGATGATAGTCATGTTACCAAGCAGAGTGAGCAGATAAAAGGTGAGGACCACCACAAAGAGGCTCAGCTCCAGGTGGGGACGGTCAGAGAAGCCCACCAGGATGAAGCCTTCAAAAGAACTTGTATTGTACTTTTCCATCACCTGCGACCGAACGTTTCCTGCTAGGAGAAAATGAATCCCTGTGAAGAACTCAGATATACAGTGCTATCTTAGAATGAATGACTGGTTAAATGGTAGAATGGAAACTTCCTCAGAAATGCTGCCTGCTTGCCCTAGAACATCAGTAGGTCTCTGAAGTCATCATGTAGTCTGAAAAGCACCATTTGGGGGGAGTTTTCAGGCTCCTGCCATGATTATGTAACAACATTTTAATCATTCCTTCCGATCTAGTAGGGTGTAAAATAAAAATTATTTCAAAATTATTCAAAAGATGGTTATTTTACTACAGAATACACACTCAGTTTTTTTCACTTTTTTTCTGTAACGAGGAATTGTCACATTCTTCTAGTCATTTGTAGGCCCTTGGGTAGGAAACGTGGCTTTTATCAGTAGGCCAGAGAATCAGATTTCCTGTTGGTTAAAACCTGGTTCTAAATATTGTCTCATCAGTGCTGGGAAAACTAGAATCATATACAAACTCAACAGGGTAGAAGTAATGGAACAGAATTTTACAAAGATAATTATGTCATTATTAACTGTGTCTAACCCCCAGATCCCATATCTTCTATTTGTGGAGGATGACCTTGTATCAGGGAAGATAATCACAAAGAACTGACACCTCACTAACCACTCTACCCACTTGCCTAAATCTTTGTAAAATTGTTTTATATGATTGAAGTACATTTCAGTCCTGGGATTAAGTGACTTTTCTGATCTTGAGACTGCTTTTCTGTAACTATAAAGAGGATAGAATAGAACCAATACCACTGGAACTAATAGGTAGCATTTTTTCATAGCCTTTCTCTTCCTTTTATCATATTTTATTGCTACAAGAAAACTCCACTTTCAGGAATACTACACTGATTGTTCATCTATCCTGATCTCATCAAACTAAATTTGTATCACCCATGATACTTCACTCTGTCAAGTACTTGACAATGGTTTTATGTCTTAGGGTGAGTGTACTGTCTAATGTAAACTAATCTAAAGCAGAATGCCGTTGATGAATAGTCTTGAGTATTTTCCTAGGAAGTTAGTAAAAAGTAAGAGCTGTACTCTTATTAAAAAGAAATGTACTGTATTGCTGAGGTACAATGGGGCACACAATAAAGTTCAAATTGACTGCCCTAAGAATGCTTTGCCAACATTAAATCATGTTATAGCATGTGTTCTCAACAACAGACTCTATACATTAAAACTTAGACGATTATTGGAAACGGAAGCATTGTCAAAGCCATAACTCTACAGGCTACAATAAGTTTCCACAGTGTTGAGAGATGGCTGGGATAAGATCGATATTATGTAGGTAGAAACCCTTTGATTTAGTAGCTGAAGTCCAATAGTGGTAATCAAGCTAGTACTGTTAATAAGGGCTTCCCCTCTATCTCTCTTATGAGATGAAAATTTAGAAAACTGATGGTATATAAGGTTGACAAAGAACACACAGGCATATGCAAATAATACCAAATTGATGGTAGTAGATGCCTCTGCTGAGGAAATTGAAACCTGCAAAATATATAT